ATGTAAAAAATAGCAGAACGAAAACAAAATATACTAAAAAAATATAATAATAGCAAAGGAGACAGAAAGAAAGGTCAAAACAAAACATAAAAACACAAATTAGCCCATAGAAAGCTACACATTCGCTATGACATCTCTGTGATGGGCACGCGCATTCTATTTTCTCATCAACTGCAAACAGACGACCGACCAAACACCCATTAAACCGCCAAATCGGTCGGCCGATCCACTGCACTGTTGTACTAGACAACAGTGAGTGGACGGACACTGGCACTTTATTTGCATGGTCAAACATTCTGTGAACAACTACAGTTCACATATATATAGTGAAATGCATCCCCACTTCTATTAATACCTACACACGCTAATACGTTATCGTATAAGTCTACTTAGTCAACCCAACGTTTCTATGGCGTGCGCACTTATAAACTACAAATACTAAGTGCTGAGAGTAGGGAACAAATGCAAAGAGCCAAGAAAATGTTTGCTAATACAATCCATAAGATTATCACGGTTCTTCAATCTAACATCTTAGCATGTTACAGAAGTAATAAATTTAAGTTCAAGACTTTCAATAATATAGGCAATAGGAGTGACTATTTGGAGTACATAGCACGCATACAAATTTTTGGGGTCGTCTTTCCTGTATATATTTTAAAGTGTTAAAGTGAAATGGACAATTTTTTAAGTATAGTTTATACTTAACCGGTAATCATGTGGATTTATATACATAATGTGTAGGAAATATTCATCATTTATGATTTGATAAACACACATGCAAAATACCTTTATATTTTTTTTTTTTTTGGAAATTGGTAAAACTGCACTACTATGAGATATTTAAGTGAAGTCAGCTAAGCAATGTTGTTTCAGTGTGGTTCTGTAGTTATACTCTTCAATATTCTGCAATGTTTTTGGTAAAGAATTTAATAAAGCACCGTTAGATGAGTACTAACATAATCCTATGAGGATTTCTTATAACATCAATGTTAAAGTAACTACTTGGATGAAAGCGTAGACAACTAAATACAACACTTGTCTAACATGACCCCGTGAGAAGCTATAATAGCTACTTCGATAGAAGCGAATCAAAACTACTGCATTTATAAAAAAAAATTCGCATATGAAATTGAAGGTCATACCTCAACTAGGTCACTTCATGCTACCCATTTTGCAGATAACAAAACAAATTTGATTTTGAAATTGATTTAATAAAAATTCCCAGTACTATTTACACAGAATATAATATATAAATGTTTTAATAAAAATTCCCAGTACTTTTTACACCGCATATAAGTAATATTGAGTTCTTGAAGATATTTCTTTATACCGTAATATTCAAATATAACTGTCTAAGACAACTGGACCAACAAAACATAATATATAACATTTAAATACCGTTATAGTAGAAGGGAAACATCACTGACCAAAATATCCCATCGTAATTAAAATTAAAAATTGCGTTCCTATGTAATAGTTCCGTCCACCAAAATTTTTTCCTGGTACATAATTTTGAACAAAAATTGTTAGTGCTTTTTTTAAGTTGATTACAGACAAGCATTGCTACGCATATACCATATGACAGCTTCGTTTCCTTTTGAACATCCCTAAGAAAATTTTGATGTACATGGGTATATAATGTGTAACAAAGCAAGCAGTTATGCGAATTCAAAAAGCAACAAGTATTATAAAAGTAAATGTACTAGAAGTGTTACAGGCTTGGTATCCCTGTTTTCTGTTATACTTTTAAGATTATTTTGCTATATAAATCCGGCAAATGAAGGCAAATGTTTACATACAGGTTTCCTATTATTCCTTTTTTCATATTTTTAGTGCAATAAGTTGGCACCTTAACTATTTCATTTTTATGCACTTTTAGTGCAGTTAACTGACATTTTAATTGTTATTTTTTTGCTTACATATAAGCTAAGTTGAAAAAAAGTATGCTTACTTTATTGAAAAATCAATTTAATATAGAATTATTATGGAATAAAATATGAGTAGAAGTAAGTTTTGGGTTAGTTGGCTAATGAACACTGACTCTGAGGTCTAAATTGGACAGGGTATGACTTCAACACTTGGTACTTGCAGTCTTTAAAAATAATTACTTTTTAAATATTTAATTATATATTAGAAATTGTTCCAAGACAATTGATGATGGGTATTTGGCAATACTCGAAACAGTTCAATTTTTTTTAAAAAATAATAAATTTTTGTTGTTGCTATTTCACTACTGTTCAATGAAAACCTTTCTATTTAAACAATAGTTTTAATTAAGAATTAAGTTTCTTTCGTCCACACAAACGCGCGTTAAAATCAATTTAATACTAATTACTTAAGAAAATTAAGTAAGGGATTTTTTAAAATTTTTCTATTAAAGTCCATTTGACTGGCACTTTGCTACTGAATATTTGCTGCTTATTACTGTTGTGATTGAGAGGGTATATTTGAGTGAAGTATGACGTGTACTCCACAACTATATACGTTGATATCAATTTATTGTTGTTATATATACATTATGTTGCATTGTTGTTGTAAGGTAAGTAATTAAAAAAAATAGTTAACAGATAAATAGTTTTAATATTTTTTAATTAAATTTTGTTAATTAAAAAATAAAAAGCTATAATTAATTAATATATAAATTTTATTTTTTAAACTATTTATATTTCTGTCTAACTGCGGAACCCTACATAACTGAAGTACTTCTGACTGTCATAAACAACTACGTATACACTTAATTTGTTTATATGGCGCTTCACCCCCATAATAACAATCTAGTGTAATAATAATAGTAAAGTTCTAACTGCAAGGGCTGTTATTCGAAGTTTCTTTTGTTTTCTTTTGCATACTCGTACACTTTAACGAGGAGAAAGAGTAGACAAATAAAATTGGTAACAACTTTTTCTTACATGCTAATGAGTTCTTATAGATGGTTTACGTTACTATACTTTTCTATAAAAAAAAAATTTTAATAAGAGTAGTAAGTAAATAAAAGATATTCTAGATTTTTTATGAATGCTAAATATATAGTATCAATATTGATTCTGACTAAACTCATTTTAGTTAAATGATTTCGAAAGAATAGTATGTATAGACCTCTTATGGAGACATATCTATAAAAAAAACTAGATATATTTACGCATATGCGTTTATATCATTAATATACGTATTGTTAAAACAGCATATTAAGTTTTTAGAAATGTTTTTAGTGCATTGGAGACGTAATAAACTATCAAGACAAATCGATTAATTTTTGAGATAAAATTTTTCATTTAAATTTAATGAAACGGATTTTGAATACTTGTCGCAACAACTAAAATCAGGAGAGACTATATTTCATCGATGCCATATAGAAACTAATTTCTCCTCACTATTTCTACGAGTATTTCATTGAAGTATGATTCATGACATATGTGGACAATATTTATTCGTTAATAATTAATTTGGACCGATTCGAAAATAACTGTAATATGTTATATATCACTATATATAATACAATGATATCAGTGTACATTCCTCATAATCCTGACTGCAGAAGTTATGGAAACTCACAGGAAAAAGAAACCATAAAACATTTTTTTTTGTAAATATCCAGTTTTGGCGTCTAGAAGAAATAGATTTTTAGGAAGATACTTCTTTGACAGTTTATCAGACTGTTCATCACTGAAGACGATGGATCTATTAAATTATTCAAATTCGACGGAATGGATTTAGTCTCTACTCTTCTATATAAGGGTTTTTCGCGAGGAATGTTGTAGCAAATTGGCAAAACCTTGCTAATTGAGGTACATGGAAGTTATCTAATGGTCTGACACCGCCACCAACCAACGAACCATTATAAAAGCATCATCATAAAAAATTGTAAACGAGTATATAAAAATAATATTATAAAAATTGGACATATTATATTTTAAGCATAGAAAAGTACACATGTTCTATCTCTCCAAATGTCGGTACAATGTATCGGTAAGAGCTATTTTGCCGTATAAGAGTAAAAATCTCTTATTAAAATTTTATTAAAATATTTTGTTTTTTTTATTATATTTTGTTGTTTTTTTTTTTAGATTGATTTAGATTTAGATTAGATATCATATAAGTTGTTAATGCTGAGAACTCTTAAAATTGCAAGACTGAAAACGTTTAATCCTTGCAGTTTTGGAACCCTTCTCTATACAGCCATAGAATATACCGGCCCCGTGTTCATAAATTGATGCTACTTTTTTGATGCTACGCTTGCGACTATTTATAGGTAGGTGAACTGAATGTATAACCTTTTTGATTGTTGCTATTGTGGATTGTCCAGAACAATTTTTCATTCAAAGTAAGGTCCAAGCATTTAATTGTGTCCACTGGTTATATATGCTGGCATATAGTATTGGTGGGTGTGTTCAATCGGCACACAAAACTATTTTTCATCCCTTGTCTTGTAAATACCAAAATAAAGTTAATGGATTAACACGAATCATAGGATGCTATAAAATTTTTGTATTTGTTGTTGCTTTTTGTGTAAGTACCCAAAAAAAGTTCTTATCTAGTAATTAGTTTTGTTACTTATTGAGAGGTGAGATACTTTTAAAGCTCTATAAAATACTGTCATTTTGGTGATATATTATTGATAAGCGTCATCGAATGTTATGATTCCATTTATATATGTTAGATAACCTTTGGAGAGAATGAACACAATAGAATATTCTTAGTAAACCAGAAAAGCATAAAGCTTAATTTTCGAGAAATTTCGTTTGCAAAATAGATTCTGCTTATCGTTTTAATATAAAGTTGTTATTCTCCTATATATGGAGAGATTTTAGTATATGAGTATTCAATTGGCTTAACGCATAAATCTTAAATGTTGACGCTTACTTTTCTTATCAATTTTGTTGCATTTATTTTTTTTATATATATTTTAAAATATTAATAGATGAGCACAAAGTCTAATTCTTATTTCTGTTGACAGTGATTAAACATATATGCTGAGGTACTTTATTCAGTTTCGTCTCAGAGTCTATGCGATTAAGTGGGAAATTAATTCAAAGTAAATAAGTTTTCAGAATGCTTGAGATTGAGAACAAAAGAAGCGGAAAAGTATTAAAAGTGGATCCATTCTGGCTACGAGATCACTGTCGTTGCAATAATTGTATAAATGTAGAAACCAAACAACGGAAATATAATCTTTTGGATATACCAGAAGATGTTGAACCATTGTTTATAAAGTTTCAAAATGATGGTACATTTTTTGATATAGAATGTAAGTATAAGAATTTAAATGAATTGTCAAAATATTGATAATTAGACTTCATTTAATTAAACTATTTGAATAATTTTATTTATATAAATATTAGGCCACAAAAATTTTTAGTTAACTTTCGCAGATATAATTGAGAGTTCTCCAAGAAAAATTTGAAATCAAGCAAATCAATTAGAAGTTACTCACAATAGATGTGGAACAACAGATTTTAACAATAGTTTTCCTTTTTAATAGATAGATGTTATGAAGGAATGCAAATTATTTAAAAAAAACCGCTTTGATCTTTATCAGCATTTTGTTTGACTGACGTCTACAAAACCATAATCATCTGTCAAAAACCGTCCTTGATGTGAATTGGACTGAACTCAACGACTTTAGAAGAGGAAGGGAAATAAAAGTCGATTCGGTTAGAGATTCGTTGAATCTGGATAAGGATATGTTACAACCGGAGGGCGCCAGTTATCTGGAGGCTTGCGTTTGACAACACACTAACTCATCGGCACGGGTCGAATAACATCCAAGATTACGCGTTTTATCGAGTTTAAATATTCTGTAATTTCAAAGGATAATCAACATAAAAACAGGTTCATCTTGAGAAGGATGTGATGTAGCAACACACATAAAAAAAAGAAGATAATATTTTAATTTTGAAGAGAGAAATTCAAGGTTTTATCGAGTTTATTCATTTTGGATAGTTGGTTGGAGTGTATTTTATTTTAACTTGAGTTTTTTACTCTATCATTAACTTAGCATATTTACAATTTAACTCATTTCAATTTATTCTTATGAATTCAACAATTAATATAAGATACATATAATATGGAGCTTATTCATTTTTTAGTACTATTCAGAATTCTCAGAATCATGATATTGTTTTAGAAAAGTTAGGGGCATATTTTCATATGGTTTTTAGATGATTTTTTATTCTAGTATATGTTTTGGATGTATCGCACATAACATTAATATTTTCTTATTTAGCTTACATGACATATGTATGTTCGTTTTCTAAAATCCCCGAAAAAAAACACATCGCAGAACCACTCTGATACTGTTATCCTAAGAGAGATTGGCATGAAAATATATATCTTATATTAACCAAATATAAGTATTTTTGCTTATATGTTCTTTTCTCTTCATACTTGTTATCGTGAAACATAATATAACTTTTTAAATTTTTTAAATAGAAGATTCTACTCTATTCCAAATATGCACGGGTTATAATAATATACTATATATGCTATACCATTCTTGTTTAAAATATAACCTTAATAAATTGTTATAACCCATCCGGAATAAGATTTTGTAAACTGCTTGTTCTTGGAACTAAAAGTATTAATAATGACAGTTGTTTTTTGATCAAATCTGGTCATAAGGAGATAGGATACGGCTGGTAGGATGAACATGCAAATGAACTTTGGCAAAAAACTCAAAGTTCACTACTAAATCGTGCGGTATAACAACACTCGTTATTTTCTAATACCCAGATGATTTCAATTAATATATTTCTTATGCCAGAATCTTAGTTGTAGTGGGTTTCTGCATAGACTGAACCTATTGAACTTAATTGAATCTATCTTAACAGGTCGTGGAGTAAATGTAGGAGATATAACTTATCTGATGTTAAGATCGTGTTTACTTTAGGTCTCTGCCCTTCAAATAGAGATTTACACTAATATACTTTAATCTAATCTAATGTTTATTTTTGTATCTATACAGGATGTCAAGTGCACACTTTAGCATTATACTCTTGCAGATATTCTTTGACAGGGCTTTTATTGTGCGTCGCAAATATTAGTAAATCAAAATTGTGTAGAGTTATTCGACTATAATCTTTGTCTTAATATTCTTCGGTACAATAGAGTTTCAAATAATACGTTGTTATTTCGCCTTTGTTTAATTTTTGTATATCTATGGACTCTACAGAATATAGTCTGTGGGTATATGGTATACAGAAGCAGAAGATAGCACTACAGAGTAGCACAAGATTTTTAATCTGTAATTTAGATTAACACCTCATTTTAAAAATAATAGTCATTGACGATTATCTTTGAAAGGTAAGGTAAGTTCTTAGAGTTGATTATTAGTTCCTTCGGTTAGTATCATTTTAATAAACTTTTCATAAAATATTTTTTTTTTTATTTCAAGTTTTAAAATATAAATTATGCTACTGACATAGTAATGATATTTTATGTATAAGAAATATAATTATAGTTAATATATAATATATGTGTAATTATATTAACTCTGAATATTTTGTGCTTTTTAGGGAGCGATAACCATAGTTCTACATATGATTTCAACTTTCTATACCAATCGCTTTATGAACAAGTTTCCAACTCCAAACAACACAACACTTCCCGCACTCCTTGGAATCGGTCAATAATATTGCAAAATGAACGGCACTTACGAGTGAACTTAACAGATTTAATAAGTTCTGATGGTGCAGTAAAAACTCTTGTATCGGCACTTATACGCTATGGCATTGCATTCATCGATGAAGTGCCACCAAATGCCGAAATGACAGAGTTAGCCATACGTCGTGTATTTCCCATTATGAAAACATTTTTTGGTGAAATGTGGACTTTTTCGGATGTCAAAGATCATGCAGATACTGCATACACCAAGGAATATTTAGGTTCCCATACGGATAATACATATTTCTGCGATGCAGCCGGTTTGCAAATATTACATTGTTTATCACATGAGAATGGCATGGGTGGTGAAAATTTTTTTGTAGATGGCTTACATGCCGCAAAAGAATTGTACTCTCGCCATTTAAATGCGTTTGAATTGCTTAAACGTGTACAAGTCCCTGGTGAATACGTTGAGACATCACAATATCATAAATATTCCGCACCAATGATACATGTGGACGATATTACAGACGAAATCATACAACTACGTTTGAATGTGTACGATCGTGCGTTATTTAATACCATACCACAAACAGAGATGTCCGAATTTTATGACGCTTTTCGCAAATATCTTAAAATAGTGCAATCGTCTGACAGTCAATGGACACTAAAATTACAGCCTGGTACTTTGGTTTTGTTTGATAATTGGCGAGTCTTCCATGGACGTCTGGCATATACTGGTTCACGTACTATGAGTGGCTGTTATGTTCAACGCACTGATTTCCTTAGTAAAGCAAGAGTTTTAGGTTTAATTGAATAAAATATATTATGTATAATATTATTTTTTGTTTTTATTAAAATTTGTAATTTTAAATGAAGGTCTTAATACAACACAATTACTGCAGATTTTATTAAAAAAAATAATAACGAAACGAAATCAATATAAATATATTTAAATTCATTTAAATTCATTCATTAATGAACGGGGTATAGTCATGCGTTATTTGGTATCTATATACTTAAGCCTATATCATACTACATCATATCCTTCTCGAAATGAAGTTGTTTTTATGTTGATTATCCTTTAACATAAAAGAATAATAAAACTCGATAAAACCCGTAATTTTGTTATTCGACCCGTGCCGATGAAATAATTGATATTACGTTAGTGTGTTTGTAACATAGCCTTATCCAGGTTTAACGAATCTCTAACCGAATTGACTTTTATTTTCCTCGCCCTTCTAAAGTTCTTGAGATGTGTCCAATTAACATCTAGGACAATATGTAAACACAGTTCAATATTATTTTAATCTAGATTCCCTATCACAGGGATATTTTCGGTAATGGTAACGACAAAGCATCTGATATAGCCAGATGCGGTGCTGCAGGAAATCACTCGAAATATCTGAACAGTCTTGGTGAACTAAGTTCATTCTGTACTGGACTTTTTAATAAAAGCTGGGAAGACTCAACTATATGTAGGCATCTGTATACAATTTGACCACGTTCTATTAAAAGGAAATCCAATACTCTCATTGAGATGAACTGTCACTAATCTTTAATGGCTCGTAAACAGCTTAAACTTGATTTAAGCAGTGTATCAGATATATAACTCTACTTAGGTGTCCTGTAAATATTATGGTAAAAAGTATACTCTTCTTTTATAAACAATATATTAATAATAACAAAAATAATTATGTTAGTAGTATACATAGGCCTTATTCTGTATATGACATACTTACTGTAGTCCCCCTCTTCTTGTGGAGCATAGGGTTTCTGTTTCTATATATAGTATATACCTTCTGCTCAAAAAGTATACGGATTTTGTTGTTTGTTAACTACTGCTTAAGTAATAGACCTTATGTTGGTACACCCTTTCTTGACATATGGTACAAATTTGAGCGCCTTCTGTCAATTAGTTTGTTTACTGCAGTTAATGTGAGACTACCTCAAGTGCATTTAGCGATTTTTACTATGGCAAATTCTTGTTGTACGCGTTTTTTTGACCAAACACGGCACCACTGTCATCGCTAAGGCACCATATTCGCCAGATCTGGCGCCGTGCGACTTTTTCCTGTTCCCGAAACTCAAATTGTCCCTTCGTGGTAAGCGTTTTGAGTCGATTGAAGCGGTAAAAGAGAATTCGCTGAAGGAACTAAAAGCCATACCTGCACGGGCCTACGAAAAGTGTATGGAAGATTGGGTTAAGCGTTGACATATGTGTATCGCTTCAGAAGGAGCATATTTTGAAGGAGATAAAATAAATTTGGAATAAATTTTAAATTTATGTGTTTTATTTACAAAATCCGAATACTTTTTGAGCAGAAGGTATATATATACAAATCAACAAATTCAGTTGCATATGTATTGTATAATAGTAAAAATATGAAATTAAATATAACACTGTTTTGGAGAAAAAAAACTGATTCATATATTTAGAAATAATTTTAATAGATATTTATTAATTGTATAAGTTAATTTTTGTAGTAGTTTAAAATAGGATTAATAAAAATTCGTGCAGAAATTTTGGGTACCCACCTGATCAGAACTAATAGCTGGTTTTTTTTTAAATTAAAATAAAAACCACAATCTTCTATATATTATTTTTATTTTGAAATTTTTAAAATTCATTACAATCTTAATAATTTAATTTCCCATGTATAAGTTTAGTTTTCATACAGACCAATGTTTAATAAAATATCACAATTTTATAAATTTATTTTATATCTTAGTACTAAATTTAAAAAACCTCATAACCGTTTGAGAATTATCTATAGCGACATACATTTTTTAAATTTATTTTTAATTTCTATTTGTACGTTTTGTTTAAAAGCATTTAAGTTATAATTTTTTATATATATACATATTGATAACATAATTGATATTTAATTGCACAATATAAAATATATAAATTTGATATAAAAACATTATTATATCATAAAAATTATTTGTTACAGATTAATATTTCAAAGGCTTTAATGTTTTTAAAGTGGTGCTTAAGACATTTTTAAAGCTACATCTATTTTCTTTCTAGGGTGCTTTATTCACTGCAGCTGTTGTTTTTGTTATTATTATAGGTATTTTAATCTACTTAAATACATATCAAAGAACTGTAATGAGTACTGAACTTTTAAGTCATACTCGAGTCATTAGCTGTATTTCACCCAACTTCACCTGACTCATGTATAAAAGAAGAAACATACTTATTTTATTATATATGATACTCATTAACATTTATATTCGACACAAAAATGTTGCAAGTGACTTAGGTAAGTTAACCTAGTATTATTTATTGTGCTAATATTTCTGTAATACGAAAAACATGTTTAAAATTTTAAAAAATTATATTTTATAAATGAAACTCATAATGTAAATCAATGTTTTTTCTCAATAAAAAACAGTGCTCGCACAACTTTCATACAAAATTTTTAAATGCTAAAACTGACCGATACGGCAATCATTAACTTCATTCATTGTTGATTCATATCACTCGAGTATATGATAAATACTTACTAAGAGTACATTTACCTGTATGCTACTCGATTTAGAAAATTGTGGGCACTCTTGTGATGGTGATTGATTAATACTCGAGGTCCAGAATGGATACCCGCCGTGAAGGTTCAACACCATGCTGTTTTTTATGTATCGGTATATTGCACCGATAAACACCCCACTGGAACTCCGAGAAATTTTACCGGTACCATTTGAAGTTATGTCTTTGGACATTACTTTCTTCTTGGTGAGGAGCGTGGACTATCTAACACCTCTGCTGATCTTTGGGTCACAACAGCCGGTTGGAAAATGCAACTCCACGTTGAATGATTGTAAATAAATACAATCATTCTACCCGTATAAATTTGAGTTACAACTACAATTACCAAGAAACACCCTCTAAAGAGCAGATCTAAATGGTCAGGACAGCCGAAACTGCGAGCCCTGATCCCCGTAGTATCAGATTTTAACCTCCGGTCGGAGGTTACGAATAGTTGTACTTCTTTTTGCAGAACGCTTGTTAACAGAATGTGGGTCCAGATTTTCAAGGTATTCAGTAAGAGTTGCGTTTCTCAATTCGGACAACCACTTCTTTAGATCGAAAGCGGTCTTGTTACAAAGTGTTCATCAGATTATCAGCTTAGCTTCTGGCTAAAGGCCTTCCAACTTAGTTGCTGTATTTAGTATTTCTTACTATTTCTCGCTAAGAGGTATGTATTCATACTGCTGGATCATATTTTTACAATTTTTTAATTGTTTTGTTGGCTCTCAGGTGGTGTCCAAAATTGAATAACCCTTCAATCTCGTATTCTCTTTCGGCGTGGCCGATATATGAAATGACTGCACTTCACGTAAGCTTCTTAATGTCGTTAGAAATGCTTCCGAAGATAAGTTACCAACCGTTCCTAGATGTATAGCTTTTGTCACTAGACACATAAAAATAGATGCATATTGTTATCGCTTGCTGGTGGAAAAGTCAATATATTCGCTTTGACCGAGGCGCCAACAGAAAAGCATAAAGCAACGTTACTACCTAGCGTAGATAAATATTCTCCTTTCGTGCTCGAGAAAGAAGCTATCTTTGTCTTGTCCGTCTGAAAATGTGGTCTACAGATGGTTTACAGATTCGCGTCTAATAAGGCTTCTGCGCACGCTTATGCGAGAATTGGCACAGATTTTTATGGGAAACAAATGCTCAGAGCCAAATCAGCTACAACCGAACTCACATGCATAACTTAATGGTGACGGATGCAGATCGTACTTTGAGCCCTACCAGGGTTTTAATGAAACGAAGGCAGCTACAGATTAGCCTGGAGCCGTTCACATGTGGGCATCGCCACAGTTCCACTATGCTATACGACGAAAACCTGTAGCCACTAGCTCAGGTAGCTTAGCTTGATGCTTTGTTTAAGAAATGAATCTTAAGACTAACTTAAACCTAAATGTAAAATTTTTTTTTTCGATTGTGGCAACCAATGCAAACACTGGCATTGTATAGTTGATGGAAAATTAGTTCTCACAAATAATTTTGTTGAAACATCAAATTTTGGCTCAAATATGTTTTGCAAAAACATATGAATCAAATTTTGTTTCAAACAAAACTGATTACATTTTTAGCAATGGTCTTCACACCTTGCAAATGAATAGAAACACTCAGTTAAATTAAAAAACAAAATATTCAAAATTGAATTTTACTTTTCAATTTCAATATATCTATAACCTACTGGGTCGCCACAGTACTCCCTCCTAGCGATGGAGTACCAGCAACAACACGACACCACAGCTGAGTCGAACCACACAGACTTGTTCTCGATATTCCGCTAACCTTGCTGGAAGACGCACTACTCTACCAGCCCGCGTTATGTCGGAATCGGCGACAGGGATTCACGCCTACGATCGCAAGCAGTCACTGGCTGACCACCATCCCGCAGCGCTGTAGGATGACGCGCTTCTGGAATGACCTGCCCAAGGTCATCACAAAGTCATCTCTTCTCCGCGGCAAACAATGACCGACGTTTTCAAGTAGAGATCGTGCACGATCAGATCCACTCGAAGAAAAACGTGCTGACTATTGATAACGTCACGCGGAACAAACACATATGGATGAAACGTGCTTACTATTGATAACGTCACGCGAAACAAACACATATGCATGACGCTCGACCATGCCGTTTGCTTGAGGGTGATAAGCTGTAGTATGAAAATGCTTCACTCCAAGAAATCTCGTCGGTTCCCGAAATACAGTAGATTTAAACTCCCGACCCAAATCAGTTGTAATAGCCTGCGGAGACCCAAACATGACACCCAACCGTCAATAAAAGCCGCTGCAACTTTCTCTGCCGTACTACCTGCCAAAGGCACAGCAACAGGCCACCGTGAAAAACGATCGACGCAAGTCAAGCAATGGTCTCCACACCTTGCTAATAAATAGAAACACTAATAACTAACAATAATAATAAAATTTTATTCATTTTTTCTACAAGCCAAAATCGAAAACGTTTTCCTCAGGTTAATTAAAAAACTTGAAATATTTGAAATGAATTTTATTTACTTTTCAATTTCAATAAATCCATATCCTACTGGGTTGCCACATATTTTACATATCTTTAGAATAGTCTCTAAAGTATGGGATGATAAAACATCCCATTGATGACAACTTTATAAATATTGTTTAAAAAACTTATAGCTATGTGAGTTTGTTGGATTAACGTTGTTATGCGTTTAATTTTCAGGATTTGTCGTTACTTAATCAAACACATCATAACGGTAATTTCTTACTTTATTGATATGAACTATTTTATTAAATACGTTGTACATACGAAAATACGATGATGTAATAATGTACTGGTGTTCTGACCGGGAGGTAGTTCAGTAGAGTCGTGTGACATATAGGCCAACGCCACGATTAAGGTATTTGCATCGTTCCCTACTCTTACCGTAGTAAGGTCTGGTAAGCATAGAGGAGGCAATTGGATCACCATAATGTATGTTCTTATTTTTCCAGGTGTTTGTGAATAGAACAGCGTAGCAGCTGATGTAGCAATCCAACGCTCTTGAATCAACAGTATGTCCAACTTTTATTCGTCAAAGTGTCGCAATATCATTGCTGATACCGCTTTATTATTTTCTGGTATGGGACCACTAACCGCCCTATTGATATAAACAGACCCATTAGCCCTATATCATAGGGCTTGATCTAGACCACAGTTGAGCTTGCGCTCTGTAGTCTTAATCGCATCAGCGTATTTTTTAGAGTATCACACTGTGCGCATGACGCAAGCACTGTTTATATCGCCAAACTTTCTGAAATTAGTGACCCTCCATTTTGAAATGACTTTAACACAGCTGTTTTGCTTTTACTGCCTGTTGAGAAAACTTTCTTTGCCTACGGTAGAGTCGTAAACAAAGATAAATATTCTCCAAATATGGTTAAGAAGCAACTAAGTATTTCTCGCCAAGAAGTCCTTCGACTCTTGAATCGATAATAGCCATATTGAAATTCGTCCCAGCTGCCTGGGTGTAGGACGTCTTATGGGCAGAACTATCGTTTGCGTCTTCTACTGTCCGCTTGCCAGATTTGTCCTTATTTGCATTCTTACTGGTGCTAGGCAGTTGATTCGCCATCCAAATTTGAGGTTTCACTTGGCTAACAACCGTTGCTGGTTGTTCAACTTGTTTTACCTCAACTTTCTGACCTATGGATTTTGGTTGGTTGACATCACTAAAAATTTCACTAAAAAAAGTTCACTAAAAATTTGTACAAATTTCATAAAAAAAATTTTCGAAAACCAAAACTGATCGATACGGCAATCATTATTGATGCATACCGCTCGAGTATATGAGTATTTCTGCTTGTACGTTATATTACTTAGAAAATTGTGGGCATACTTATGGCGCTTATTCATTAGCACTGTCACTTGTTAACGAAAATACTTATGAATCATTTTTGTGCTGAGTATAAGTAAATATAAGTAGTGTATGAGGAAATTATTTATACGCACTTATACTTGCTTTTTATGAATGTACTACAACTATTAAAATTATGACTCTTTACAGTTCTCTGATGTATATACTTATGTATGAATATAAGTAAATATTAAGTTTTTAATACTATTTAATTTAATACTATCTTTTTGGAATTAAAAAAAAGGTAAATATGTAGTGCCAAGTTTAGCCTTTAATTCAATTCAGTTTCTAACAAGTTTGATTTATATTTTTTTTTCAATTTAGAAATCATTTTGAATATCTGCCTTAATTACTTTACATATTTTTGATTATAAATTAAAATTTGCTTTAATTTTAACAAAATCATAAAATCAAAATTTTTAATTTAATTTACGTAGGAAGGAACATGATTTATTATTGTTGGTTTATTATTTTGTAATATAATAACAAAATTTTAATGTTTTTTTTTTGTATTTCACTTAACTTTGTTAATTATGGTATACTCGGTTAAATGCGATTTTATTGTGGTTTCAGCTTGGCACTCACAAATTTTACTTTATTTTTATATGATCTTGAATGTATTTTTACAGTTAGATGTATTTACATATTAATTTTTGATAAGTTGTTGATTTTCTTTGAGTTTGATTCTTAATTGCCAATTAAAAATCAAAAGCAATAACAATTAATGGTGAATTAATTGCAATTTTTTAGTTTAATTTGAATCAAAAATTATTATGATTTCCTTAATATAATTTTTAATATATGAATAGAAATTATTATTATTTTAAAACATTATACACTCCCCTCTTCTTTAGCAAAATTATTTTTGGTTTGATGTAAATATTTAGTATGATAATTAGTTTTGTTCTAAATTAATGAATTAACAATGAATAATAATAACAAATTAATAAATGAATTCTGAATATATAATAAATACTTATTGGTATTGGTACTTATTGGTAGTATGTACTTAATTATTGCTTATAAAAACGTAAGGTACTTAATTATTAATTAATTATGTACTAAATATATATAACATTGTTTTTTATTTACACTAATTTATGTCTGTTTAAATCAATTATACATTGGAGTACGTTATATTGATATATTTTACATATTATATAACATTTTCAATGAAGAAAACGTTAAAAATATTTTTAAATTAGTTGATAAATTCTAGTGATAACAATGATAAATTTAACAAACTTAAATTCATTTGTCCGCTTGGAGTTGATTATGCTGTAAAAAGTAAAAGTTAAAAACTTTTAGAAATATTTAAAATTGCTTGATTTTCTAAAATATAAATTATTATTTTTTTTTATAAAATAAATATATTTAGTTGTAAGAATTATTACAGTCAAATAACTATAAATACCAAAACTGTTCTCAATATTTTTTATTTAAAAAGTAGAAAAAACTATAAGAAGAACTATGGATAAACATTAAATAATATTTTATTTTTACCCATTTTTAATCTAATTAATTTTTACATTATATTCATTTTGTCTTCTGTTTTTTTTTTACACAGCATTAATTTAAAAAAAATATTTTGTTTATACCAACAATTACATATTAAGAATATCATTTATAGTTATTATATATATAATACCTATATACACATATAAAGGGTCTGTTTCTTCAGGCCTTTTATTAAGTTATTCTGTTGTCTTATATTAAGACAATTGCAGCTCATTTGATATTTCATTTGATATTTTTTTTTTTTGAGTCTAATAAATCATATATTGGAGTTTGCTTAGGTCTTAATAGATGAAGGTTTGTTTTATATTATTTTTCTTTTTTTAAATTAAGAGTTTTCTTGACGTTTATCACATAAATTTAATGCCTTTAACATAGTAATAAAGAGAGTATATTTAAATATACTTTTAAATAGTAATGTAAAAAAATTGTATATTATAGTATGGTGTGCTATAATAATATATGGTATAGTACGGTATGCTATAGTAGAGTATGGTATAGCATGGGGTGATATTACTAATAATAATATTTTTTTTATTGAAATTTCAAAAAAAAAAAAAAATTGAGTGAATTTAAAACTGTTTTAAAAAGACTATTCTAACATTTTAAGACAAGTATGGAAACTGAAAGTAAATATATAGGGTTCTTTAGTTATTGATCTATTGACCTATTAATGCTACACTTATCAATTATTTGTTTAGTATTTTTTTGAGTATCTCAAATTAAACCATCCTATTGGTGGTTTTTTCGAAATTATTTTTACATAAAACTATAAAACGTGATTGTATCTCCATCACGTTAAATTTAGAATTGTAGCATTAAAATATATGATTAATTTGATCTACTCTATATCTCATTACAAAAATAAAAAACAAAAAAAAAAGTTTAATTGTTAAAAAGTGTATGAAAAATGATATAAAAAAATATGTACAATTTAATAAAAATCTCTTACTTACTTTTTCTTTTAATGGTAAACGAGTAGTCGAATTTTTAATTAAATCAAAAGTTATTTCATTCGATGATGGTTTTTCTTTTGACTTTTCAACTTGCTGATCCTCCTTACGTAACTTTTTATATATATTAAAAAAAATAAAAAAAATTTAAATATTAAATTAATTAATAAATAAAGTAAATATATTAATAAAGTAAATATATATATATATGTAAATATATTGCATTCATATAATATGTAGAATAATTGAGTAAAAGTAAAATAAATTTTTGTTGTTGCATTTCACTACTGTTCGAAAAAATCTCTTTATAACATTTTTCGTAAAATATTACTTAAAAAACTAAACAAAAAAATTTTTATATATTGTTGTATAAAAATATGTCTTTACAGTATAATTTTAAACTAGGCAACAGATGCCTAGTTTTTTTTGTAAGACTTGTAGTTAAAGTCTTGGATTTGTCTGAACTAAAATATTGTTTTTTTTTCTATTTTGATCATATCTACATTTAGAATAAAATTTATTTTTTTAGCATTAAATTTCCCCATATTAAGTTCTTTCCGTCATCCATGTTCCAAATAACATGATTATAATGAATATGTCAGCTGCATGCAGTTGGACCTTAAAACAATAACAAAAACTAAAACTCTAAAAGTCAGAAGGAATTATGTTCAACAAGTTCAGTAATATTGTATTTTAAAAACAATGTTATTTTGTTTTATTCTAAGAGTTAAAAATATTTTGAAGAATATAGTCATATAGGTTTAAATTTTCTATTGGTCTCGAAACATTCCTTCAATGCAATACTTTATTAAACTAAATACCATATAGTCTATAGAAATTCATTTTTAAAATACTTAAGAATATACTTAGTACTACCAAAGTGTTTAAAATCAAACATTCACAATCGCAAATAAATTTTTAGGATTATTTTAATGCTTATAATAAGGACTAAAATAAACTTACTGCGAAATTATATGCAGTCGATTTGAACTTATTAAGAAAGTAAGTATCTTCGTCAGTATCATCAGTGCTTGTACTATTAATTTTACGCAACTTATTGACCAAAGGTTTTTTAGTTGCTTGACTTAGAAGCTGTCGTCGTTTTCTTGTACTATACTTTGGTAATGTATTAGGTGTTTTTTCTGTATCTGATAACTAATCAAAAAATATATATATTTATTAAAGTTATTAAATGAAATGAATTGTTTTACTTGTATTATAACTTCCTGTGGAATCGATTTTGCAACTCCAACTGTCTTTTTGGTAGTATTATTTGCAGCCACAGACAGTACAGGATTTTCCAAAGCGCGTTCTATTTCACGTATTTTGAAACGTTGCTCTTCAATAATTTTCTAATTTATAAATACAAAAAAATCATTAAATGTTACACAATACTAAACAATTGCTTAACAGATAATAATAATATTATTTACTAATAAAAATATATACGACAACTATATTATTAAAAATAATACCAGAACAAAAGTACCACAACTTATACACGAAACAGAATAGAAATCTGATTATTAGTTAGAAAAAGGTATGCTTAATAACAATAATAAAAATATTAACAATTATTAACATATTGTTAATAATGGCAATAATTATAATAATTAATTAAAATTTACCGAACTGATATTTCGACCATTTTCTATAGTGAGTACCCTACAGAATATATATATATATATATATATATATATATATATATATATACATTTATTTAATTTACACAAGCGCAAATAATTTAATAATAAGACTAGTTGTATATTTATAAGAGCAAATAAAAAAAACATATTTGTAATTCTAATAATAATTTAATTGGATATATATGGGAATATTAAATTGAATTTCTATAGGAGATAAGGATAAAGAAATGAAAAAAACAAAAAAAAAATGTGAAAATGTTACTAATATTACTAAATTGATTTAATTATTTTATATAGTCGTGCTAGAGGGGATAAAGATATAGAGATATAGATATAGAAAAGATATAGAGATGAAAACAAAAAAAAAAAATATAAAAATGTTTTTAATATTACTCAATATAAAGTTCAATTAGTTTTACCGATAAAGCTACGCTTTCTTATAATGACAAAGAAGCTATTTTTTTTTTAATTTAGCGGGTTTCGAATAGCAAATAAAGAACGGACAAACACAAAAATTTAATTAATTTATTGAAATTTGGCTACCATACAAAGCTGTTTCGAGTATTGCCAAGTACTTATCATCAGTGGTCATAGGAAATATTCGAATTTTTTACTTAGATTATAGTCTAATAGTATAATTTGTTTGTACTGCAGGTGTCAGACTTGTCATGCCTGTCAAATTAGTAGCGATGACTAATCTTATTGTTCACAAGTCTAAATTTTTGTGTTTGTCCTTTCTTTCTTTGCTATTCGAAACCCTCTAAATTACTAAATATATATATAATAAAAATATATTATAAGTAAATTTATGAAAACATTAATAATTGCAATAAAAAATATTTTTTAAATTCTTACATTTTTGTTTGTTTCACATTCAACCAACTTTGCTTGAACTTTGCTTAATTCATCTTTTAAATTTTTGACATCATTTTCATACATTATCATTTCTCTCTGAAAACACAAACAGTAATTAGTTATAAGACGCCTTCATGAATAATAAATAAGATTTTCGAAAATATTTACTTGATTTTCCAAGCGCTGTTTCTCAAAACGTACTTTCTCTTCCACGCGGAAGGAATTAAATTCTTTTTGAGTATTTTCCAGTTCTATACATGCATCATTTAATTGTTTTACTAAGTCAGTATTTGAAGTTACCAGTTGAGTAACTTCTTTAATATATTTTTTGTTTAATTTATCCATTTCAGCTAATTGAGAAGCAATCTATGAACACAAAATAAATATCATTAAATATAATTTACAATTATCAAAAATCAAATACCTTTTTCTCGAAATCGCTATGCTTCAATTGTAGCGACGCAATAGTGTTTTTTAGATCCGATATCTCTTTTTGTTTTATAGCAAGTTTTTTTTCATATTTCGTTTCTAAATCTTGGTGTTTCTTTTCCAAATCCCCTGCATAATTGCGTAATTCTTTAATGGTAGTCTTCATATCATTTGTCACTTCTTTATTTGCTTTTTCGGCCAAAGTCCATTTATCAATTCTAAAAAGATAATAAAAATTACAAAAAAATAAAAGCAAAAAAAATAAAATTGAGCGATTATAAAACTAATGACTCACTTTTTTTTCAAATTTCGTATATAATTCTCTTTCTGGACCAGAAGACTTTTATAAGCATGAATTTTAGTTTGATTATCATCAACATTACAGCTTAGAGAGTTAACCATTTTATCTTTTTTTGTAATAAAATCGTTAAAAACATTTTGGTAGATTTGAAACTTTTCCTTTGGCTTGTCCATTTGTAATAGTTGCGTATAATGAACTGTTTAATATAAGGAGAATAATATAGGAGAATATTAATTTCATTCACTTAAACGATATAAAAATACGATTCTTATTAAAACACAGATGACAATTTTTAATAAAAATTTATTTTGTTAATAGCTAAATAGTTTTTTTAATTAATAAGAAATATATTCGATTTAATTGTAAAAATTCATAAAAACAAACAGGACTTTTTGAAAGTAGACATTTGTACTGAGGCCATCTATTGCCAAATACACACATTAGCAAGACAGATACTTCACCTTGACAGAAATGCATATTCTAAAGTACGTAAATTCTATAATATAACGATCGACTGCTAGTCTCGTAGCGTTTACGCTATCAATTGTAGCAAGAAATTCTCCTCATTCTAAAGTCTAAAATAGTTACCATATAATCTTATAATTTAACGCGTCTATTTGTTTTATTTCTCGCTTAGGCACTCCTTGTGGAGACAAGGAAAGCAAAAAATTCTCCTCATTCTAAAGTCTAAAATAGTTACCATATAATCTTATAATTTAACGCGTCTATTTGTTTTATTTCTCGCTTAGGTACTCCTCGTGGAGACAAATTTATCCATGTTATTTTCTTTCTAGATAATATTAGAAAGAATCTAAGATAAAAATAGAGAAAGAAATCTATATAAATAATACAGATATTTTAGAAAGTAAAGTTATCTAAATTCGAATTTAAGCTTATATTTATGCAATATATTGAAATTTTATCAAATTTGATATAATTTTCATGAAATACATTGAGTGTTAGAGTTAGGCATGTAGTTCTTAGAATATTTGAAATCTAGCTCTCCACTGCAGGCTTCTAAATAGGTTAGTTCAGGTTAGTAGCTAGTCTAGTTGACAAACTACCTTTGATCCTATGGAGCCATTGTCTTACCACTGAGCAACAAGAAAGTATAATTGTTTTATTTATAGAACTATTTTGCTGCTTTCATACAAGACATAATGTCTTTAATCGTAGCGTAAATACTTTTGTGGAACAGCCACGACATAGCTGTATAGCTAGAAGTTACAGCTTCTAGCTAAAGCTAAACAGTGTCGAAAATGTTTCATTGTTTCTTCTTTGTCCTCATCTCCATAAGTTCTACAATATTCATACCAGAGAAGTCAATAAGCCAATAAGCATGACTACCGAATAACAAGTAATTAGTTACATAAGTCACAATTTCTTCACTTGGTAGGTTTAGTAGATTTCTTGATTTTTTCCATTGAGTATCGGTTACATTCGTCCTAACGTTACACAATTCTTTTCGTTTGACGAAGATATATTAGTCTCTTAAACAACACTATACTAGGAGAATAATTTAAAAGTGACGAAAAGTATTCTATTACTACTATCGCTACTGTCTACGCTTTGGAAAAGATTAGTACCCCACCCCGTTTTGCCAATTCAACAGCTCTGTAGTTATCTTTAATATCATTCTGCCTGGTAACGTATATAATGCATACATCCAAAACTAATTCGCTAATTTCGTTTAGAGCAATATTGATTAATCTTAGGTCTAACTTCCTTTGGCCTGAATTTATTGATTTGATAGCCGCCTGACCTCAGCAGCCGCCAATATCTTAACAGCAAAAAACACATATAATGATAAATGCATGTTACGTCCTCACGTCAGAGAACGAATGTTTATTTAGAGTACCATATGAAAGTTCATTGTTAACTATAAGTAGCTGCTTTTAATGAGTAATGTTAACTTTATAAGAAATGGAAGAAGTAAATAGTAGAAAAAAAACTGATACTTTGATAACATTCGCACTGAACTCTTGAATTATGAATCGAAAGTGTCGCAGACCGGAAATGACAACCGATTTTTTGTTATGTTCGATAATTTTTTTGATCTCTATCATAATAATAAATATACAATATATTTTTTATATCTTTTTATTTGTTAATTATTGTGTAATACAAAGTTTAACTTACGTTACATTAATTTTACAAAATCATAGAAAATAAAACTTTTTGAAAATATAACATTGAAATTCATTATCAGACACAAAAACTATAACATTTATTTATTTATATATAAAAATCTAAATTGAATTTTTTTTTATAAAAAATATATATATAGCGTCAATATATTCGATTCGTTTTGATTTTATTTTCTTTATTATGATTTGCATTTATACTATTTAATAGTAGCCAAGCAAAATTTGTTTTAACCTAATCGTTTGGATAAATAACTAAATCGCACAATCGCTGATGACAATATAAATAAGAAATTTTAAAGATTATTTATTTAACATAAATATATTTCAATATATTAGTTTTGTTCAATATTTGGACATATGGCAGTTAATAATTAATTACATTTCAGTATACATATTTAAAACATAATTATTTGTATGTATCAATGTATACTTTTCTTATTATAATTAAACATACAAGACGTAGATTACTACTACAATAAACACTGGCGTTAAACAAAATAAAATAAATAAAAACAACAACAAAATTCAAATAAAACAAAAAAAAAACAAAAAAAAAAATAAAACAAAAAAAAAAAAAAAAAAAAAAAAAAAAAAAAAAAATAAACAAACAAAAAAAAATAAAACAAACAAAAAAAAATAAAACAAAACAAAAAAAAAAAAACAAAACAAATAAAACAAAAAAAAAAATAAAACAACAAAAAAAATAAAACAAACAAAAAAAAAATAAAACAAACAAAAAAAAATATAAAACAAAAAAAAAAATAAAACAAACAAAAAAAAAATAAACAAACAATAAAAAATAAAACAAAAAAAAAAAAAAAAAATAAAAAAAAAAAAAAAAAAAAAAAAAAAAAATAAAACAAAAAAAAAAAAGAACCAAAAAAAAGTGATAAAATATTTACATTTACTTAAAATTTTTATGCTAAATTAAAATTAGTCAAAAGAAAGGCGACAATTAATAGTAGTGGAAAGTGGGAAAGTGGGTGTGTACTTAAGTAAATAAATGCTAGAGGTTAGTTAAGGATTAGCATTATACATGAAGTGCTTAATAGCATGGCGCTTATGGTGCACGCGTCAACAGCTTTAAACTAAACATTGTCTATAACGATCTGCGTTTGACTGTATATTTTTAAGATAGATTGTTACTTCGTCATTTAATGGTTTGATATCATCTTGTAGTTTCAGTAGTTTATTATTTTTCTCTGAATAATTGTCGTGCATTTGTTGCAGTTCGCGTAATTTCTCATTGGTGTCGACGGTTAGCTTAGATGCGCGTTGCAATAATTTCTTGGCTCGTTTTCGCGCATCTTCGGAACGCTGGGCACGCTCGATTAATGTCTGATTGGCTACTGTGGCGCTGGACTTTAGATTGTTAGCATCAGTGCGAGCTTCTATTGCTGAATCTTTAACACGGTTTGCTTCCTTTTTGATTTCTTTAGCGTCAAGTTCATTCTTCAATATATTTTTCTGCAAACGATTAACTTTCTTTGCTAGTTCCTCAACTTGTGATGCAGTAGCATTTGCAGGAGCTTCAGCTTCACTTGTTTCCAAATCAATTTGATCAAGATCTTTGGCAGCTAGTTCTATATTACTATTTGCTTGTTTAATAGCATCCTCGGCTTTTGCTTGTGAATCATCTGCATCATCAAGATTTTTAACAACAGAATTGGCTGTTTGCAGTATTTCATTAGCGGTTTCTTTTGTAGCGTTCGCTTTCGCCTGTAAATTATTGACGCGTTCCAAATCATGTTTTGTATTATAAATTATTGACTCAACATTTTTCAGTGATGAAACAGCATCATTAATCTTTCCGCCCAATAATTGAATTTCTTGCGGATCTAATGTTAGATCCAATAGCAAAGTTTTTTGTGATATTTTTTTAGTGTCACTTGGTAGAGCAGTACTGTTGTTTAAAAACTCAGTAAGATTTAAAATCATAGCCTCACCTTTTTTGATATTAAGATTTGTACGATTTCGATAACGTTCGGCATCTTCGTAAGCACTCTTTGCCTTTTGGTAAGCTTCAGATGCATTTACTTTAGCTTGGAATAAGGAACGTATAGTTTGATCAGCTTGATCTTTTTTCTTTTCAATTTCGTTTTCAGTATCCTTAGCAACTTTAAGTGCGTTTTCAGTACGTGTTAACGCACCACGTTCACAAGAAAGTCCGCCACAAGTACCACAACCTGCACCACCACACAAACTATCACAAGGATCGCCACGTTTGTCACAAACTTCGTTATTTAAGTCCGGTATGATGGCAGTTAGTGCAGCCAATTCATTGCGATATTCATTGATGAGATTGTCATTTGCAGTAACAGTACTTGAATCGTCTTTTAGTTTATTTGCTAAAGCTTCTACACGCTTGCAATTGCGATCCGTGTTTGCTGCATATTCTGCTGCCTCGTCTTTAAATGCTGACAAATCTAGAACCCGATTAAAAGCCTCACGCGTTAAATTCAATGCACCATCGATGTTTGATTCTTGCAATTGAATTCCATTTTCTTTTAAATCTTTTGATAATTGCTTAACTAAAGCAGACTGATTTTGCAGTGCTTCCAGTTCAACACCAGACAAAGTAAGCGAAGAGTAGATATTTTCTAGATTGCGTTCTGTTTCAATAAGTTTTTGGTGTGCTGCAGAAAGATTGCGTTCAAGCTCTTTTGCCTCTTTTTCCAATCCATCAATGTCTTGCAAGCTCACAGTGGTATTTTGCAGTAAGTCACGTATGTTTTGTAATTTCTTTTCAAGAGTGCTAAATTCAGATGTGTAGGCTCCAGTGGCGCCAATGAGTTTAATTTCTTTAGCGCGTTGTATAGCGACGGCTGTGGCATCTTCTAGTTCATGCAGAATTAAGTCCCAATTGTTAAAGCATTCGCCGCAAGGTGCGCAATGTGGGAATTCGCCAAGATAACCTCGTGCACATTGATTACATTTGTCGCCACCAATACCTTCGTGACAAACACATTGTCCGCTTTCTCGATCACATTGGAAATCTGCTGAGCCATAAGGATCACAATCGCAAGGTAAGCATTTTTCATTTGGATTGCCCCAGAAATTAGATTGACATTGATTACATGCACGTCCGCCAAAACCATCTCTGCAATCACATTGTCCAGTATATCTATTACATTGTTCAGATAATGAACCGATTGGATCGCATTCACAGGCTTCGCAACCCTCACCTGATGCAATCTTCCAGTGATTAACTACACACTCGCTACAACTGATGCCTCTTACATTAGGCAAGCATGGACACTGTCCGGTAAAGCGATCACAATGTAGTGCTGTGTTGTTGGTGCCTAACACATCACAATCACATGGTACACAATTTTGATTAAGTGCATCACCAAAGAAACTATCACGGCAGAGCTCACAATGATCTCCAGTTGTATTGTATAAGCATTTAAGGCATTTTCCTGTGCGACGATCGCAATTTCCTGTATCATAAAGATCTGTATTTTTACTACATTCGCATTTTTCACATGAACCGCCAAGTGACGCTGCATCTCCGAAATAGTTATCAGCACAAATATCGCAACGGGGACCATCATAGCCTTCCTGACAATGACATATCATGTTATTGTTCCGTGAATCTAAAGAACAGCCATCAGCATGTGAGTTGCCGCTAGCAATAGTATCTGGACAACGGCAAGCACGGCAACCTATTTCACTGCCAAGTAACGGGTTGCCATAATACCCATCTAGACAAACATCACAACCATAACCAGTTGTGAAATCCATACAACTCGAACACTGTCCAGTTAGTGGATCACATTGTTGCGCATGACCGTTGCATTCACAAACTCTACAATCAGGGAAATGCCAATAACCGGGTTGACATTGATCACATTCGCGCCCATATGTATTTGGGTGGCAGGCGCATTGCCCAGTTATTAAATCACAATTGTTATCCTTGGCTCCAATGCTGTTACAATCGCATGCTTTGCACCCCTCTGGACCAAAACCATATGTACCAGGAGCACAAATATCACATTGTCGTCCTACTACATTCGGTTTACATTGACAATAACCACCAATAGAGTTACATTCCTTGCTCAATGACCCTGTAGGATTACAATTGCACATACTAGCACCGTTGTGTATAATAGTACTAGCATCGTTATTCCATTTTGTACAAGGTTCATTGTTTACACCACCGTAGCGCAAATCATACAAAGATTGATTGCAGCCCATATGAGTGTAATTATCTAAGGGAGAGCCTCTGAAGATTTCATTTACTTGTATACGTGGTATCAATGTTAATGAATCTATTTTTATTGTAGCCGTTGGATTATCTTCATTGTGATGTCGACGTTCAAAATTAATTTTAAATTTATAAACTTTTCCCTCTTCCAAGCATACATTGTGTAAAGCAACTACATGACGTTGGCGATCCGATAAAGTAAATGGTATATGTGTTTCATAGGCACTACTTCCTGGTCGCACAGCTTCTGCACAGTTGCCAGCTGGATCAACCTCATCCGGACGTACTAAAGTGATAAAGGCATCTTCCCAATCACCGTGTGAAGTAGTTTGGTACCGAATAACAACATCATATGGCATAGAACGGGCAATGTCATTGACTGTTATTGTAAGACCTGAGTTTTCGGGAATGCGCATAAAACCAATACCGGTAAAATCGGGAATACGATCAGATGGTACTTGAGACGGCAAAACAGTACAATTACCATTATTTGAATAAGAGATGCAAACATCTGCAGTTTCAGCTTCATAAACTTGTGTTAATTGTGGTATGAAATAATTCTGTTTAGGCGTGGCACAAGTACGACCACTCATATGTGGCCTACAACGACACTGTCCTGAAATGACATCACAGAAATTATCGTATGATCCACCCAAATCGCAATCGCATGGCGAACAGCCTTCCTCTGATTCAGAAAGTCCATAGGTTTCTGGTGCACACTGATTACAGTCTTTACCAGTTACCAAACGTTTACATGTACATTCACCAGTATGCATGTTACAACCAGAATTATCAATAGTACCAAGAATATTGCAAGTACATTCTTCGCAGCCATCTGGATTTTCTGGATCTAAATTCCAATAACCATCTTTGCACATATCACACCGACGTCCTTTCACGTTAGTTTTGCAGTGGCAAGCACCTGCCTGAACACCATTATCAGGATCGTTGACAGAATCGCAAATACCTTCGTCCAACGAACCAATTGGATCACAATCACATGGCAAACAAACATAAGGACTGCGTATATCTTGACTTGGATCCCGATAGAAGAACGGCATACATTCTTCACAGTGTTGTCCCTGTGTATTGTGAATACAATTATCACAAACACCACCAGATACACGTCCAGAATGGTCAAACACCGCCTGATCGAAATGACAACTGAAGGCATGTTCATTACATTCACACTTTTTGCAAGCATTGGTCTGCTTACCAAACGCTGGTTTCCAAGGTAAGTCATTAAAGAAGTCTTCACAAGACTCGCAATTTAAACCCTTCGTATTATGCGTACATTCACAACGTCCATGAATCATTTCATATGAATCACTATCAGAGCCATCCAAAGGCAAACATTGCGAAGCATGACCGTAACATGAACAGGATCCACGTACAACCATATTGCTTATGCCATAGTAATATTTCTCTTCCATTTCCAAACGATTATCCAATAAATTATCACCGAGTTTATGCAATTTAGTAAAATTAATACGCAAATTCGTCATTTTGAGCATATTTTGTACATGCGCCGCATACGGGTTAGATACATTTATATTTGGTGGCAGCACACGGAAGATAACCTCACCATTCCGAGATGGCTCGACATTGGAATAACGTGATGTACAAACAACATCTGTTATATTACGCAAAACAGTTGGTACACCGGGGAAGGATTCGGCACAGTCATATGCAAAGTAACGATAAACATGCCAACTTTGACCAAAATCAAATGAACGTTCTATCAACATTGCTGCCGGGCGAAATGTGGTAAAGGATATTATCAAATGGGTAAAATGAAATTCAGCTTCCATATCCAGTTGAATGATGACATTTTCTTTACCATTTTCAGACTGCCACCAAGTCGGTGTTTGCGTGTTTGGAATTGTTTCATATATTATTTGTCCGATACGATGATTTTTGAATGGGTCATTTCGTGTTTCCTCTCTTGTATCACAAAGGAAACACTTCTTATCTTGCAAATGTGAGAGTATACAAAAACGTTCCGGTGAATGTAGACCACATGTCGATGATGCTGTTAAGCGATTTTCACGCCCGATTAGTAAGTTACCAGTGGCCGGATAACATGATGAACGCTCGCATGGATGTTGTTTTATATATTGGCGGGGCAGATTGCGTACACGATCACGTCGACCGCCGGCATGTTTCTGTGCCACGCTTATGTCGAAACAGTGGCTCAGTAGTATAAAGCATGAAATCGCGATAAGCAATAAGCTACTTAAATTGCTGGTATGACCGCCCCAGCTCCGCTTCGACATTATATTGAACTAATTTTTTCTTGTTTTTTTCTTTCTTCTTTTTTTTTTATTATTTTTAATAATATTAATTCTATTTATGGTGTTGTGTTAGTTCGATTCTCTACGGTGTGTTAATATTGAAGTTGTTTTTTGATTATGTTCTTTTGTTTTTTGTAGTTTTGTGGCATATGTTTAAATATGTATAGAAACTAAAACAATTCTATGTGATATATATTATGCATGTGTGGGTCTTGAGTAAATATTGCTCCCAGAGTTGTTTTTGTTGCCCCAACAGTTTCCGGTTGTAATCGATATATAAATCAGCGTTGGTTTGATTTAATTACTTTTGATGCGATTACTAAAGAACAACTGAACTTCCTTCCTCTTCCTTCGCTTCAGAGTTTTTAATTTTGGTTGTAATAAATTTAAAAATAAAAACAATTTTAGTTTAATTTTATATACTTTTGGATTGTTTTTATTATTATTTTAAGTTTAATGTCGACAAGAGGATCACTTTTTCAAATTCACCTAAAAAAAGAGAAGAAAATTAATCTCTAAAATTTTAAAAAATGAGTATATATATACTTATTACTTACCCAAAAATTTATGAATCTTTTTTATGTTAGAAAGTTTTGTAGTGAATCCTGTTTAAAATCTGTAAGAATATTGTAAAGGAATATATCTTATAAAGAATTTATTCTTTTATTTTGGTGTTGTATCATTCAATAGTCAGTGAAATATTGTGTAAAAATATTATATCTTTTTAACCAAAGTACATAAATATACACTTTATAGAGTACTTAAGGTTTGACACAAATTTTGTAAAATTTAAAAATATATAGAATTTAGCACGAGAGTTTGAAAAAAGATCATCAATCGAAGCAAAGTTATATATAGATTTATATATATTTATATTGAGATTATTTATATTATTTATTCATATAAATAAATGCTTTTAATTTTCAAAAACTTGTTATAATCGAGAATAGTCCTTTGCAGTATTTATTCTCAATATTCACTAAATAATTATAAATTGTTAAGTTTCATTCTAGTTTTTATTCATTAATATAATAAAGATGTTATTATTTCGTCTTATATTATATATATGGTACATAAATAGTGAAAGTTTTTTTTCAGCGGACACCAAGCATAGAAGAACAGAACAGAAAATAACGTATTTTGTAAGACGAATGATATATTTTGTGTGACATCTGAAGACTAGTAAAATGAAAAGGTTAAGAGAGACATTTATTTATGGGAGTGTTTGTTTAACAGAGGTTTTGTCTTTGGCTATGATAAGAATGGAAGATCTACAACATACTGTTCAAATGAATGACCAAATCTTACTGTTAGTCTTTCTCTAATTGAATACGAATAGCACTAATATCTAACTAGAGAAAGTAGTAAAATAAGAACAAAAATTAAAGTATTTAATCACAGGATAATTTTTAACAATCGCTGGATACACCGTCTGTCCGTCCTCAATATAATAATAATTAATATATAATTATTAAATAATATTTTAATAATATGTTATTTAAAGTAAGTAGGATTTTTTAAAACTAGATGTTTTTAGTTAGACCTTTTATTAGCAAATACATGCGTCGGTAAAATAAATCCTTCACTGATTTGACAGTATGTTTGTGTTATCGATATAAAAATATTTTTTAATCAAGCAATGGGCTGAAGATCCTTTCGTACTTTCATCCCTTGAATCATTTTTTTCCGTATTTCTTTTATTAAAACTGACATTTTAACATTAAATAAACATTTTTGAGCAATTTTTCTTCACAAATTTTTTTATTTTTTTACATTTTTGAAGATATTTTTGTGATAATATCATTTCTTAGCATTATTTTTTTATCGCATGTTTAGTGGTGTTCACTAGAACTTATACTTGTGCTTCTTTTTTTATATACTTATATGATCTGAAATATCTTCTCTGGTGGCAACACACGTTCAGTATGTAATAAAAAAGCATAAAAACAAAGTTGTCATAAGCTAGAGAGAAGATCTCATGTATTGTCAGCGTTCTTTACCAAAGCTCCTGCAGCTTGTCACATCAACACAATAGCCCAACGAGGGTTGAATGATTTAGGGATCTTAATGGAGTTGAACACTGATTGCTTGACTAAGTAAAGCGAAAAGTTTACTTCGTAATTGATATAAAATCCATTAAGTATGGAAATTCATACACATTATAAAATTTCCAATATATGACTTGATTTTATTAGTAAATGTGTTGATAAGTTTTGGTTACTTGGTTTCAAAAAATCCTATCAGATAAGAGGATCTGATAGAGAAAAGTATAAGAGGTAAAAAGAGGATAATTTTAAAAACGTTTGTTAATAAATTATTTAATTTAGAGAAAATGCTTTGTTTAATAACTTTGTGGTTTACTTCTATAGTTTATACTCCTACTTAACGATAGGTGGGAAAAGGTGGTAATATCTAACGTACTTAATAGTTTGTATAAATAGTTCTTTGTTGGCGTTAATGTTTGCAGACCTATGTTAATTATCTTAAAGCTATATATTTGCACTTTCTTAGAATTTAAATAACAGATTAGCTGTAATATATATTAAAAATTTGTTGTCGTTTTATAAAGTTAGGAATAACTTCTTATTAAGGAACGACTGGAAGTTATGACGAAATGTATCTAAAAGTTTAAAGAAAAAGTAATACTAAGAAGCATAACAAACTTTATTCGAAATCTGTCAATTAGCAGCAAATATAAATTTGTATTTTATTATATGAAAAGGACCTATTTAGTTCAAATTATCTAATTATTTTACGTATAAAATTTTTAATGTATAAGATTTGAAGATGTTAAGCTATTTTGAACTTATGTGATAAATTTTAAGATACTTTTAAGAGCGATCTTACAACTACCTAGGAATATTTGGAACGTAAGTCCTTGATATATTTAATCTATGTTGTGCAATTATTAGACATAGAAAGTAATTGTTCCTTATAAGTAATAATTATGCATGTATGTATGACAGAGCAAGTTATTGAGAAAAAAAAATAACAAAATGTATTAGGAAGTATCCATAACCCTATCTATATAAAAAAGATCTTATTAGTTCAGATAAGGTCTTTTAAAAAGAATTCTGTTTTTGTACTCAAGGGATTAATTAACCGAATTATATATAATATTATATAGGATCGTGTGAACAACTTAATATATTTATGAAAAACTAAAACATTAATATTTTAATAATACCTATAATTAATTTTATTGGGGTTTTATCGCCGAATTTTAGGAAGTTATTGATTTTTTTCTCAAGATAGATTATTTTAATAATCTAATTTAAAACATTTTGATTTGAAAGAAGTTTTATTTAAAGCTCTCCTTCTATATATTTTTTTTAAATGGTTGGAACATTTATATTAGTGTGTCATGAAGAAAGCCTAGTTTATCAGAATTTAAAACATTTGAGCTATGGATCTCACAGAAACAGATTAAACATCAAACTGTTTTTAAAACTAAATCTGTCCTGAAATTTTATTTAAAGCTCTTCTTCTATATACTTTTTTAAATGGTTGGAACATTTATATTAGTGTGTCATGAAGTAAGCGTAGTTCATCAGAATTTAAGACAGCTATGGATCTCACAGAAACCCATTAAATATCAAACTCTATTTAAAACTAAATTTGTTGTGAAATTTATTCTGATTTGAAAGAAATTTTTGTTTGAAAAGATTTTTTTATAGCTTTTGGAAACGTTTCCACTTTTTTAGTTGATAAGTCAATTAAACTAAAGAATTTTACGATGTCATGAAGTAATCCAAAGTCTTCCGGTTGTAGAAAGAGATTTTAATTTGATATAATATTTTTTTTTCGGTTTTTGAAAATATTTAACTTTTTGTAATTAATAACTCAATTAAACCAAACTAAATTACGATGTTATGAAGTAATCACAGTTTAGTTTGAAGACCATATTTTTGTAGTTTTTGCAATGATTAAAAATTTCTGTAATTGTTAGGTAGGTCAATAATTAAACCATATTAAATTACTAAGTTATTGAGGACAGTTCTTCAGGACTTAAAATAAGTGTTAGGTTTATACTGTTTTTTTTATAGTGTGCTAAGATTATTAAACATTTTCTGTAATATCTGAATTTATTCGGATTTGAAAGAAATTTAATCTTTATACCTGTTTTACCATGTTTTTTATTATACCTGAAAACAACTTTGATAGGTCATTTGAACAGTATAGAAATCCGATGTCACATGATAACTGATCTTTTGATCTATATCTATTGTTATGTTGAAAAGTTGTGATAACTTTTTTTTGCGTAATAATATTTATATTGAATGAATGAATTTCATTTCTATACCACCATTACCGTTTTAAAGAAAAATATGGAATAATATGTAAAGATACTGAATCCTTGTTGTGTGGAGACTACTCTGTCTAATACACAATATTTCACTTCTCATTTAAAAAATACAATATAATTATTGTAAAAACATACTACACGTTTTTTTTAAATTTGTGTTTTAAATTTTACAAAAGTTTGGAAATTTGCTGTTTTCCAAAAATCTGTAAACTAACGATTCCATATATCCAACGAAAAAAAAGTGTGGTAGTTACGATACACATCGAACGATACACATCGAAGCTTTCGTCGCTGCTTTCAACTATATTTCTTTTGAAAGCGATAGAAATGTAGCGAAAGGCAATATAATTAATCTAACAACCGAACACGACGACCAACACGACCAGACTAATGAAATCTTATAATTTAGTAGAAAAACAAAAAAATCTCAAATTAAATATGAAGAAGTAAGTATGCAACAAAATGTGTACCGACTGTCGACCGATCCAACACAAAAGCAAGAAACCTCATTTTTTAATGTAGCGATAAATAAATTTTAAGCAATCTTTATAGTTTCAACGCTGTTAATTCATATATTTTTTTATCAGTTTACAGCGACAAACACAACGGCATTCGGACTTATTCACTTCCAACAAACATCCTTATCAGCATCTCGAAGAAAAATGCCGTACACCATATACCATATATTTCAGATACAAATATGCACACACACATATATACATATGTATATATATGCGTGAAGTACTAGCATATAATAATTTATTCATGAATATATGTGCACTCCTATATATGATATTATATATTAGTTTTGTTTTTTCTAATATTTATGCTGATTTTTTAGTAAGACATCAAAACACTTACTCTTACATATAAAAATATAGTTATGTTATGTTACACATGTATGTATATTTTTATTGAAAGTAATTAAAAAAAAAAATAAATAAATTTTATTAAAGAAATGCTTTGCTCTTGTCATCATTAAATCAATTATAGATATTTTTAGAAATACAGTTAGAATTAAATTATTTTAGAACTTGATTAAATTTGGTATATTCATATTCTTTTCCATCTTTTTCGGAATGCTAAAGCTACTGCTGAACAGTTTCAGTTGAAAAGACTTAGAAACTACAAAACGAGATTAACTGAAACTGAAATTTGTTGAGAAATATTGTATAAAGTAATTTAATCGAAAGAAACTATGTTAAGCGATAAGAGATAGTATGCGAGTAAGTTTACATTCTGATGGATTCTACTTATCTGTTATGCTGCTAGGTGCCATAGTGCCATAGACCTGCAATTTAATATTTTTAC